ATATATATACTCCTAGTATATTGTTTCAGTGAAAACAAAAAATGATGAACACGAAAGCAGAGACCGATTTCTCACGAACCTTCTCACGCTGCCCAGAAAATGAGAATTGCTACACAAAAGTCTGCATCGAGTACACCTCCGTTACTAACCTTCCTGACGTCACACGACTCTTTTGGTCCAGCAGTACGTCACACACGCATTAAGCAACCCCGATGCTTGGTGACGTTTCGGTCTATTTGGCATTCGTCATCTTTGTGACTGTTATTTTCATCTACCTTGTGCACGTGAAGCGCATGCCTCAATCACTTGATGCTTTTTTTTATGGAAAGACGAAATTACCAAAGCTCTTGGGTGTTTGGCAGTCGGATCACGTGGAGGAATGCTTCACATGTGTGGAGTTCAAATCTTAAAACATGTTTCCATAAAGCAAGGTATCTTCGTTTCATGGTAGACACATGCTTGCTTACGGCTAAGTTCTGAACGTTGCCAGATTGAGCTAACAAGTTTCGCTTGCGTACAGGACCGACATTTTCAGGAACATTCCCCATCCAGAAGGCTGTGCATTAACTGACAAGGTGCATAGACTGCTTCGCTCCTCCCAGGGCACGGCATATATTGGTCTACAGTGTAATAGTCGAGGAGCTAAGGCCTATTTGTACCCAAATGACGTGCGAAATTTTTCAGGACTTTCATTGATCCTCATCGACGCATCATTATGTTGCCGTTGAAAGAACTGACGGATGACAGTTAAAATAGTAGAATGGCATAACAACGGGAATCCGCTACTTGCCTTCAGCTGGTTATTAAAAGCCTTAGCTACTGCAAGACTGGGTCGGCCCGAATCCTAGCCTCATGCTTGCGGATGAACAGATTGAGGTATTAAACAAATTTGTTTACCTGGACGGCTGTATCAGTCTGGGTGGTCTCGCGAAAGATGACATGATCCGCACTGAAAAGGCCAGAGCAGCTTTTGTGAACCTGCGTCACCCACGGCGTGGGCGCAACATCAGGTTATCCGTCAAGGTTTGAGTATACAGTGCTGCGGTGCGCTCCATATTACTGTGCGGATCAGAAACCTGGCCGCTGCGCGCCGAGGACGTCTAAAGACTTTCACTGTTTTACCATCGATGCCTTCCGAGCATTGTCCGAGTCTGGTAGGAACACCGGATCAGCAATGCTGAAGTAGGTCGAATGTTATTCGGGAGAAATAACTCACCCTCGATAGATGGACTGATCACACTGCATCGGTTGCGCTGGCTTGGCCACGTGCTGCGTATGCCAGTCGACCGACTTCCTCGAAGGGTTCTTTTCGCACAACCACTTGGAGGGTGGAAAAGAGTCAGAGATCGTCAAACAATGACTTGGCAGCGAAGTGTGAAAGCCATTACCAGCAAACTCAGCTGCGCTGGTCACTGCGGTCTTCCTGGATGGGAACCCCGAGACGGTCCACATCAATGGCTAGGGACATTATCAGACATGGCACAGACGCGCTCTCAACGGCGCTCATGCATCCAAGCTATTGCCTTCAATGCATAACTCCCTTCCCAATCCCCTCACTTAACAATTCACCCACAGTGCCGTATTTACGCACTCATTTATCAGCTCCCCCTTCAATTCGCAGCTACCTACCCCACTTCCTCGAATCATCGGTGAACGAAACTGTGGCAGGTACGACTACTGTACGACGAGTACGCGGTTATTGCAGCGGATAATAATGATGAATATCGAAATTGGTGATACATGGAAAATTCAGCGTTATTACATCCCTTGATATAATAACAGGGTTTCACTTCATCATCATCACCGTCATGGACAGAATGACATCAGTGTTGAACACTGATGTCAGCGATGCTTCGCTGCCGTACAACCGTGCTTTATTTAAAAGCCTTACTGTGAAGAAAAAAAGGAAAGAGGACAGCGGACGGGACTCAGTGCTAACTTACTACAATCCTTCCGAGATGCCTACACCTCCAAACACGCATTCGGGCAATCTGGATGGAAACTGGCAACAAGAACCCCACTGACATCTGTTGGCAGCCATACCGCGAAAAATCTCCAACCAGGCGCATTGGGATCACGCGATCCCCATCCTGGAAGGCGAGTAGCACTGACAGCACCCAAACGTTTCGTAATCTCCTACATACCCCACTGCCACGCCAAAGCTTAGCCACATCTCTGCTTCTGCCAATCTAAAGTGAGCATGAAAAACAGCACTCTCTTTGGCAAACGACGGTTCGGCATATGCAACACATAGCCCAACCAACGCAGCTTCTGGTGCAGCACACATTCTTCAATGGAAGTACCTGTTGCACACCTGAAAACTCACTTTCTAATTGCCTCGTTACGGATTCGCCGACACCAATCCACACGAGCTATGGTTCTGAGACAACTGAAGATTCTCCGTTCTGCTACTCGAACAAGCCAAGTCTCATAGCCATACAACAAAACAACCCGCACTGTAACCCGATACACAAGTCCTTTGAGATTCAAAGCTACAACACTTTAACGCCATAGGTGTCTCAAATTAGCAAGCGTGACCCGAGCCTTGCAGATTCGTGCATTCACCTCATCTGTCACACTACAATCAGAAATAATACAATACACAATACACAATACAATACACACAATACACACAATAATACAATACACAATACAATACAATACAACAATACAAATAATACAATACAATAATCAGAAATAATACAAGATGCGAAGCCCCCGGTGCACATCATCATCATCCAAAGACGGGCCACATCAACGGCTAGAGACATTGTCAGACATGCCCAGTCGCGCCCTCAATGGCGCTCGTGCATCTAAGCTATTGCCTTCCTTCACAATGCCCTCATTTACCAGTTTACCTACAGTGTTGTATTTACGCACTCATTTATCAGCGCCCGCCTGACATGGTCAGTGCGTGTCGGTGCCTCAGCAATGCCTCAGCAATGAACTGCTACACTGACGAATTTGAGGAATATAGGTAGTCCAGGTGCGCTGCATGGTTGTTGGTCTGCTTGTCGAACTTGGAAATGCATCGAGCTTAAATTTTGAACGAAAGGAGGCAGCTACGACCACTGTACGACAAGTTCGCGGTTATTACAGCTGACAATGATGATGATCATCCAAAGATGGAGAGGTCCCAGCATTCTTCCTCGGGTATCCCATCAAACCCTGCTAGTTTTTAATGATTCACACATATCGATCCATGGGAATCAACATCTATCTTCATGTATCTCAGTGCATCCATTTTACACTACTGCGGTGATTCGGTTGAGTCTTCCGTGAAAACCAAATGAGTGTATTGTCGAACTCCGTCCGATTTCGGTTCAAAAAGGACATGAGGTTGACCGAAACTTGGGGACTTCGCCTACCTGATGAGCCCCTAGAAGGGCGAAAACGGGATGTGGGCTGTATAAGCGTTTTCAGCAACCTTGAGAGTAGTTTCCCTTGTGAGAATATACTGCAGTGATTATTCATCAAATGGTTCACTTGTCCAGCCTGTCACCTTGGGGGAGCAAAAATCAGCAGACCGTTGAAGACCTTTTTACCAGATATGCACGAACTGTTCCTGACCGAATCTAGTTCCAAACCCGTCTGAAGCGGGGCATCAAAAGCCTCTGTCGCCTTCATTCCCATCCAAACATTCAGACAAGTTAGTGATACTTTTGACTGATTGATCCGGTTGAAATTTTCCCCGAGTAATTTACTTCCTGAGTACTGGTCATTTTGTAATCCGACGCTGACCCTTGCATGAATGCGCTTTAAACAGTTGGGTCTCAGTGACCGACTGGAGTAGCATACCGCTTCAATACAAAACGACGTACTGATGACATCACCTCGGTTGGGGATGGAACAAAGATTTGAAACCTGCCTACCGTCTTCCACCTTCCTAGTAAACCATCTGATATGTACATCAGAGTTCTACCTTCTTGGAAAACAGCTTCAAAATTCGTGGAGGGATATTTGGCGAACACCAACCATATCTTTCAAACCTCGCGTCCACTTCCTTTCTCTACATAGCACCGTAAATTGTCGTATCAAATCTAATATTCGCTTTAGTGCGAACGGAAGCAATTCATTCCCGTCTACCTCATCTACTTCAGGGTTTGTGACGTTCTTCACGGACTGGAATTATCACTAAGTCCCTAGGTTGGTTTGAGAACAAGATCAGGCGAGAACGAGCTGGTAAAGATACCACAAGGATGAAATGTTTGCTAGGACCCATAAGATTAGTTCTTTATCGTTCCATAAGAGACGCTGATGATGGTGATTGACTACCACAAGGTTCCACGATCAGATTTAGGTGGATGCGAAGTTTGACAGCAGTTCTCAACTTCGGAGGCGATATGCCCACGAAACCGCAAAACCTAAAGTTTTCACCATAGCCATCACACCAACAGTACAACTGTTACCCTGGCAACTTGGGAGCGGTTGAATCATGGACAGGATATATAAGTTGAGTTTAACCACATCGATTTCAACAGGACCACCGGGTACATCAACGTAAGATAAACATGGCGGACAGAGCGGACCTTGAAAGGAAGGACACAGGACAAGTCGAATGGTGAGCCTCTTGGGTTGTATCCACTCGAGACTTTTCAGGTCAGCCGTGATAGTATATGAAGCTTTTTTACGCAGCCAGTCCCACATTTGTCAGACTTAGCTCCTTCAGCCGTTGGCTGTCCGCTTTGGTATTGGTGGAACATTGACAGGACGATGAGCACTCACTTACTCAATCGGCGGCAGTCTTGGGCAAGTGAATCTATTCGGGGTTGACGGCGCGCTTGCATCTGGCCTAAATTCGTCATCTGTGGCCTTGTCCCATTTCGACTGAAGACATTTTGTCACAGAATTTACTGGCGAGCAGGGCTTGGATGCTAGCAGCGCATTTGCAATAGAGAGATCAGGAAATCAGCCTTTCGAATCCAAAATGGAAAAAGGGAATGTAGGTTGGTACAAAAGTCTGGATGCTGTTTTCGGACTGCTTGCCTTCCGGTATGTGGCCCACGTGGCCCTTCTGGTGCATAGCGGGTAACTGATGTTAGTGGCGTTCATAGCGTCAATTTCTATCTGGACTGTCTGGCTGAGTGTAGGATTTGTAAGCACCTTGGATGAGTGTGGTAGGCCAGCCCCCCTCTCCTTAAACCTCCAAGAAAGGTTGGAATATCAACAGACATGTCCAAAACATACATCGCCGTCAACAAGTTATAAGCAATAATGCTCGCGTGGCTCAGGTGTGATAGGACTCTTGACGTATTGGTTGATAAAAAAAAAAAGACTATATTCGAATAAGTTGACACAGATGTACGGCAATGTAGCACCACTGTTCTCATCTGGTGTTCCTGTCAATAATGCCCACCTTTAAGGAAGGTTGCAATATCAATAGACGTGTCCAAAACATGCATCGCCGTCAACAAGTTATAAGCAATAATGCTCGCGTGGCTCAGGTGTGATAGGACTCTTGACGTATTGGTTGATAAAAAAAAATGACTAGCCAAGACTGGATTGCTTTCTGGCTATTGAGACGCTTTTGCTCGTCAAGCCATTATTGATGGTCGACTGACGTATCTCTTAAATGATACGTCTTCTGCGATTCTGCAGTGATAATTCCCGCTGTTTGCCGTTGATTTATGCCAGCTCAAACCACGTGAAACTGATGGAGTGTAAGGGTAAGGTTTTACGTCCAATAAGGCAGCCATTTCTATTACTGCTTTCTGTGAAGAGTTGCTGGACTAACTATGATTCACACACCACAATGGCTGAATGCTGCGGTGGCAGAAATCTTCAAACACCCAGGTACGAGTACAATCAAAGGTGTACAGTCTGCGTTTATGTCCAAAACGAATCGCCGACCAATATCGTTTCCAACGAATATCGGGAAAAACCTTTCTCGAACAACGGCTTGTTCCCCAAGTTTGTGAGACAGAAAGAATGAAAATTTTCCTGTGGTCGTTCCCGTTTTTTGGTTCGTCAGACACCAGAACTGCAGAAGAGTGCCAAATTTAAAAGATGATCCACCTGAACTTACATGGATACTGCGAGTAGGTGCGAAGTCGGACGACCACCAAGTGTTTAGTATCACCAAATCTGACCTTCTTATCTCATACTTTACTCAAGCTACACGGGTCATAAAGCTCGTCAACGGTGAGATGCAGGTAGTGCAATTCGCAGCCAGTGAAGGCTTTTCAGTTAATATTTCTTCATATCAATGATTTTCTCCCCATCAATCGCTTTTCACTTCAGACAATCACATGAGCACTGTCTGCATAGGCGGGGGCGAGTTGGCCAAGTGGTTAGAGCGCGAATTTACTGACCGGAAGGTTCATGGTTCTAACCCGAATTCCACCTCTCGACTTCCGCTGTCTGGGCTTGGGCTATCTGGGCTGGGTAACCTGGCAGTAGCTCATCCATCGTGCAACCTCCGGGTAGTATGATAGTCAGGCACCGAAAGGGTACTACAGGTGAACGAATAATAATAATAATAATATGATGTCTGCATAGACGATTCTGTTAGGCGATTTCCGAACAAACTGAAGACAATGGCGTGTAGCCTGTGCAAATTTCAACTCAATGGTTTCAGCTGCCAGCGGTTCGGATCATTGTTGTTCGGATCTCACATGCCTGTGGCGCAAACTGTCAGCTGAGCTGATCGTCGTGGTAGGCCAGAAATTTCACTAGCTGGGTTTTTTTCGTGGGGAAAAATCATAGCCTGAGGGCGTGCAAACGAATTGCAAGAAGGCTGGACGTTAGGCCTCCATGTGCACACACACACACATACACACAAACACGCACAGTAAGGGTGGCAAGTGAAGATCGAGTTTCCACAACAGCTTGCGACAATCGCCTTCGCCTAACCAACTGCCCCTTGCGGTAGGTACGCTAGCGAATAGCTAGTGCCACAAAATTCACACTAGCAAGGCACGCAGTTTCGCCCTATCCTCGAACATTTGTGACCAGACACACCATTCTGGTTTGGAATGCGCAAAAAAGAGTGGTCCTGACAGCGTGATCACACGAGTTTTCTGATTTTCCATAGTTTCTAACATTAGAATTGTGGCTTTGAGTGGCCGGAAAAGAAAAGAAAAAAAGAAAGAAGAAAAAAATTTTCTGCAACCCACATTGACTTGTTCGGTTTCTAAGACAGCGTTACACAGGGATTTGTTGTGTTATCCGGAAACGCGGCTGTTTCCTCGAGCAGTTTTCCGGAGAGTGTTGCACAATCACCTCTTGTCTAACCTCGTTTTGCGTGACCGAGTAAATCTTAGACCCGTAGTGCTCAAGAACATGAAGATCCTAGATTTTCATGGATTCGTCCCTCATCGTGTCAGTAGTGTGTGTTAGTAGTTCACTAAATCACTTTGGGTCCCAAATGGAATTTACCATCACTTCTCCCTCCAATGGACTCCCGAAAAATGGCGAACCAGGCAGATTTTGGAGAAAATCGATACCATCCTTGAACTTATGTTTATATCCCTGCGGAAACCCATGTTGGGGGTAGTTTTCCGACTTTTATTGGGAAAAATGGCTTGTCTCAAGAACCATCCTCTCCATGAGGATGCAACAAGTCTGGAAAATAGCCTCACTGTCCACGTTTTACGGATTCCTGGTTTTGTTTACCGCGGAGAGCTGATGATCCGGTAATCGGTAGATGTTTATGCATCAACTTAATCATCATCCTAAGGTAAAGGGACCTTAGCGAATATACATTCATTTGCCAACTAATTTGGTTTTTCGAGAGACTCACCTGGAACCCAGCTGAATCTCTTGTTTATGATGTAAATGAGTGTATCTTTGCTCATTTCGTGCAATTTGGTTTCAAGTAGAACATGAGGTTGACGGAAACTCGAGGACTGCGCCTACCTGATGAGCCCCAAAAAAGGCGAAACCGGTCGTGGGCTGTTGACGGATTTTCAGCAACCTTATGAGTAGTGCATTACAAAGGTGGAGGAACCTTATTTGTCATTGTTTTCACCACTTCAAGGAACGTTACTCCTTGATTCACTGTCTTACATTCGGATAAAGTCTTTTCCAGACTTTCGATCCACATGTTTGATTTAGCCATGAAGCGACACAGGTTGGACATTGCAATTCTACGTGACTGCTACGTTTTGTGTCACTAGCCTTAGGACTGAGTGGAAAACAAACGAGGATTTTCGCATTCTCAAGTGTTTTGCATTTGAGTTTAGTTTTTTTTCGGCTGAAAAACCGCGTAATGAAGTGCGGTAGGTCCAGCTGTGAAAACCTCGTTCACCAAGGCGAGGCGGAATGAAGATGAAAGCTGCATGGTCCTGGCGACAGCTCAGTGGACGTCAATGCTTTTTTTTCGGTCCGGCAGAGAGCTGCGCATTGACGGAGGTAGCTTTTATACAAGACCGGCGGCGTGACAGAGCGATATCGCTCAGGCTCACCAAGCTTTGATTTGTCTCGTCCCTGTTTTCCAGCCCCGAGAGAGACGGTTGTTCACAGCGTGACTCAGCTGACTAGCATTGGCGTTCGTGCTTCGTTGCCAATTTTCTTAAATGAGCGTCTTCAGCATTTCATACAAGACTGGGAAAGAAGAGCTCTCCGAGGCAAACGGTCTTCTGAAGTATTTGGCCCAACGTGATCCATGGAGCATGAGCAGCGGGTCCGTTGAAAGAGAGTGAGCTTTTCCAAAATTCATCTTCCGCGTCTCAGCATTAATAATCTGATATTCGTCCATGATAGTTTCAAGTTTGTTCCGCCAGTGGCTAAATAATTCCGGCCTCAGTCACCATCGGAAGTGTAGACTCTCGAAGTCTGGACGTCGCATTCTGATTCGCGCGACGTGTGGGGTCAGAAAGCGACAGCTGTCGATAGAATGGGTCCACGGAAAAGTAGAAACGGTAACTTTTCAAGCGATGTTTATATAGGAACGGGTAGTTTGTGCAAGCTTTGACTAACCAGATCAAATCGGATTTTAGTCCAGGCTCGTATGTGATCTAAGACGCAGTGATGATCATGCGATCTGATCTACTAAAACTGAACTCACGGCCGTACTAACTGTCTGTTGATTCTGCCCTATTTCAGATCATGTACGTGACCGCCACAACACCCTACGTATTCATGTTCATACTATTGGGTCGAGCAGTCTCACTTGAGGGCTCATCTATAGGTCTACAATATTACATCACTCCGGATTGGGGGAAGTTGGCCGACATGACGGTGAGTCGTAGCTCCACCACATGGAAGTTCCTAACTGATTGGTATGTACTTTGTTATAGAATGAGTAGTATATATGATTAGCGCGTATTGCACACTTCTGTGTCCCAGAATATTCCGCATCAAGAAATACTGGGTTTTTCGAGAATTCTTTTGAAAAAAACAACCTCCACAGTTGAAATTCCACTTTAATCCAGTCAGCTGAGTTGGGAAAATTCCAAAGAGTTCAGTTCATTTGGTAGTCACTTGGGCTCAAAATACGCCTCCGAATATGAGAACATTGAATGATCCTACTTATTGTAACGAATAGGTTAGACGAGGTGACATTTGGATAAATCATCTTGACGGTCAACATCCGTCAATTCACAATGAGATGGGAGAGAGCTGTACCGTAAGATATCGTACTTTTAATCTGAGTGGAAATACAGTAAGTTGGAGGAACTTGTTGAACCATCTCTCTAAAGATCACGCTCATCTTGACGTTTTTGATGTTTCCATGTGTAGTGCTTTAGATTGCGTCTTTGTAATTTGTGGATCCCATTTCCGTCAGAGCATATCACCTACTGATTGAAAATCACTTTATTCCATTGAGCAATGTCATGGGTGCGGTTTTTAGATTGAAGGTTAAAACAGTACATCCGTGTTCTTAGAGGAAACGACTTACCAGTTTTCTGAAAACTCGTTGACAGCCCACGACCGGGTTTGCCCTTTTTGGGGCTCATCAGGTAGGTGCAGTTGCCGAGTTTCTGTCGAGATTACGTCCTACCTGAAACCAGATTGGATGAATTCTGACAAATACATTCATTTGCAAAGCAACTTTAAACATGATGCGGCCTTTGTGCAGCGAGTTCAGTTGAAGAATATCATAAACGAGAGCTTCACTTGAGGCTCTCATGGAAACCAAATTGATATGTCAGTGAGTGTATTTGCCCAAATACATGCTTCTCGTTTTTCCTATTCGGTTCCTGCTTCACAACAGAACTCCCACGAGGGTAGGTTCCTTGTACAGAGGAAATGATATTGTGGTGGAGAATAGCACTGTTTCGATAATTGTTTTTCGTTGGTTGTATGGTCTGAGGGCAAAGTAGTGATCAGCTAACTGGTGAAATGAATGGTCGAACTCAGTGATGAGATGACAGATTTGATTCAACGATGCGATTAGCTGTCACCTAGACAGCACATGGCCCCACTCATCACATCACGTGGCCACGTACTGACTGGATTTTCGAGCAACGACTTCTCAGATAGAAGTTTCACTCATATTGTAAAATTATCAGTCCTTTGAGCCGTTCATTGATTGATCGTACTATGAGGAGAGTTTGTAGAATTTTTAATTGAGCACTGTTGTCTAGCCAAGTGTTCGGCCCTTGGTCAGGGGGTCGTGCGTTCGAAACTCTCTGAATTTCGCAGGACGCTCACTGCTGATGATCCCCAATGGGGATAAAACAGTTGCACAGTGCTTTTCGGCTTTTTACACTGAAGTGGCTCCACTACAGGATGCATTACAGGATGAAATCTCATCTAAAAATTACAGAATCTCCTTACACTGCGATTAATCTCGCATCGGCGCTGATTATGTCACTGCCCTGACATCCTACTGCCTGGGTCCCCCTTTCTGGGGCACAGCGGTTGGACATATTCCGACACTTTTAACAGGCTCAGTTTGTATAAATTACAGAATCTCCTTACACTGCGATTAATCTCGCATCGGCGCTGATTATGTCACTGCCCTGACATCCTACTGCCTGGGTCCTCCTTTCTGGGGGCACATCGTTGGACATATTCCGACACTTTTAACAGGCTCAGTTTGTATATTCGTTGCATGTGTCTCACTTAAAGGCCGGTATAAATGTGGAACATACCGTAACTCATTTGGTTCCGCCTTCCACTCTTATTTGGCAAATAAATCAGCAGAAAATAGTAGTATTTGTGCAAATCGAATATGAGTAAAATATGCTGTATACAGTGAAGGGATTTAGAAGTGTCAATTAGTAATTCGTCCGTCAATCCTAGCTTGTCAATGCTGAAGAATCTGGAGCTGTAGGAATCCTTCATCTTCCTTGGGTCTGCAATGGTTTTCGAACTCGCGATCTTCCGGTTAGTAGCTGGACACTGTATCTTGACCGAGAGATCAAGAGGGGTGTGGGCAACCATGTGATTGAATTGCACCCAGTGGCTCAATTATTAGCCTATAGTAGATCAAGTGCCCTGAAGTGTTCCGTCATCATCGTCATCATCATCATCATCATCATCATCATCGTCATCATCATCATCATCATCATCATCATCGTCATCATCATCATCATCATCATCATCATCGTCATCATCATCATCATCATCATCATCATCGTCATCATCATCATCATCATCATCATCATTCATCATCAATAAGCTGTAAGAGCAGCGTACTTGTCGTACAGTGGTTGTAGATGCTCCGATTTCATCCATCAAAGGTTTGGGTGGGTAAGTAGCTGCGAATTGAAGGCGGCAGCTGATAAATTGGTACGGAAGCACTGGCCTGTCTTTGAACTTATAAGTAGGGGGGTTGAGAAGGGAGATATACATTGAAGGCAATAGCTTGGATACACGAACGCCATATATGGCCATGTCTGACAATGTCTGTAACAATTACTGTGGCCCATCTCGGGATCCCCATCCAAGGTGACAGCAATGACCAGCGCAGCTGAGTTTGCTGGTAATGGCTTTCATACTTCACTGCGAGTCATTTTTTTGACCTCGTCTGGCTCGTTTCCACAGCAAGCTGAAATATTGTGAAATATTGTGAATCCGAGGCACACTTCTCCTTCAAACGAGACGCGACTGGTTTCTGGATCGAGTCGAACATTTATCAGTGTTGCAGCTATTCCTGGAGTCCGAGTTTTGAACATGATTTTGACGCTTCTGCTTTAAATGAGCCAATGTAAAATTCTCCATATATCCACGTCTTTTCACAAAATTGCGTGATGTTTATGCCTTTCCACTAGCCGTGGACCAAAATGACTTTTCTTTCTTCCATATTCCAAAATGCTTCAGATATGGTCTGACGCAGGGGCCCAGATTTTCTTCAGTTACTCCATCAGTCTTGGAACCCTGGCAGCCTTTGGAAGCTACAACGGTTACCATCACAATTCTTTTCGGTATGTTGAGGCCCACCCCTTTCTTTGAAAAGCAACTCCCACCCTGTTTCGAAGATCCTCCATTCATTCCCTGTTTTTGGCCAAATTTGACTGTCGTAGAATTCCAATCAGGTATTTTCACGTGCGCTGATAGATTTAGTGCACTGGGGAAAGAAAAAGCACGAACTATTATACATGTATTATTTTGGGATGAGATGGTACACATTATCTTAAGGTATTTGGTAATTTTGTCCTTGTCCTTCACACTTTGGTTACCTTCAAAGGAGATTTCGACCCGTAAGTCAAGCCAGTCTATACTGGAGACCTTAAGGAGCACTGCACAGTGTTCCGCTCCTATTGAGAATCATAACACATCAAAATATAGAAATTTCTGAACCTTTCATCTACCGCCCACTGGTTGAATTATCAACCGTTCGGTCACGAGTGCCTGATCAATCGTGGTACCATTTTGCACTTAGGATATAACGTCACTCGACGCTCAACCAGGAAATCGATATCACGTGTTCACATGTTTACTGGTTCATTGAGTGATGGCTTCTCAGGCGGAGCTAACTGTAAGAATATTTGCCTGGTGTTTTTGGATCGTTTAACTTACTTGTGAAAGAATGGATCGACCACCCCCCTGTTTGGGCCGAACTGACTTGTAACATGCCTCAGACAACCAATACTAATAAGCGCAACGATGTACGCATAGAGATATCCATGTACTAACCAAAGCTTAAGAGAGCCGTGAGAACTCTTTCGAGGAAAAACGTAAACGTTTATTCATGGCTATCAGCAGCATGATCAGCGCGTCAAGCGAACAGGTTCTTGTAGGCGACACCGTCAAAAGAAGGACATAAACGTTTTTTTCCTGAGGCAACTTCTCAACTACTTTTTTAATCATAATTCAACGTCTCAGAATTCTTGTACGAATAGGCTTCACCTGCTTGATTTAACAATCACCAGAACGACCCTCAAATTCCAGACGCAGTCAACTTTTCAGTCCATGACGTCTGATTGTGGCAGGGACGGTGATTCCGCTTTCTACCTCTTTCCTTCATCCATCATCCATTCCGTCTTCTTAGTGCAATAATTCGAATACCCTCCTTTTCCTCTCTTCCAGTGACTGCGTCGCTTTTGCGGTTATCAACACATTCACCAGCTTGCTTGCCGGTCTGGTGATTTTTGCCACTCTTGGTCACATGTCAGTTGTGGCCGGTATATCGATCGACAAAGTTGCCGAATCCGGACCGGGCCTGGCCTTTGTTGTTTACCCGAAAGCGCTTGGTTTGCTTCCAGCCAGTCCATTTTGGGCCGTTTGTTTCTTCATCATGATTTTGCTGCTTGGAATAGACAGTCAGGTAAGCTGGCGGGGGTCAGTATCCATCTGATAATACGTTGGCATTCTGTGTGCATATTGTGTATAAGTCCTTGGAGGCGGACGCAACCATGAGTGTTCACTCTTGACGAAGCGATTTAGAGGAGTACCTAACACCTTGGCCACCATTTATCCCAAGCAGTTTACATTATCTAGACTCGTATTGGCATCAAAAACTGGGACCGATCACGTGGCCATCTGTCTAAAATCTATCAGTTGACAACATATTAAGCTTACGACTCTAAGACACCGCCAGGTCGACAAACTACTTCAAGATATTGGTGTTTTACACCAGACGTTTCGTGTTAAATTCTTCGTTTTGATTGTTTGTAAGAGATAACCTATTTGAAACCCAGAAATCTACTTTCCTCTATCCATTAACTGCCGTGTCGCTCAATTTTAAAACGTCCGCCTTGCGGTGAAGGGTGCACAGACGCGACACAGATCAGTGGGAGGATCGACCAATCACCTGAGGAGAACACCTGGGGCGAATCTGATCAATGGTGGTCAAACAGCACACCTGTGCCGACAAACCGGAGTCTTGGATTGTGTTAACAAGGCACCGGGGTTAGTGTTTATGTGCGGTTCCCTCCAACATTGAAATGTTGTATAGATCCCCATAATGTGCGTCAAAGCATACCCGATGAGTATGTAACCCTTGGAACACAACTTTGTGAACCCCGATAGGAACTTTGGGTTGCAAACTAGCGAACCTCGGCTGATTTGTGACCGATGAGAAAGTCATGAAAGGTGAAAATAGTAAGGAGAATAACTGGTCTGTTCAAGATGACAATTTATATTTCAGTACACATTTCAGTTAGTGATATAACATGTGAATCACAAAATGAGGTAAGCAGCTGTCTGCTTGTCAATATATATCGAAATGTTGGCAGCTCGCGTGCGTCACTTGGTCGGTGTTTGTTGATCCGCTCGCCGAGCAACTCAATTTCCACGCTCGGTGAACATACCAACAACCATCTGTTCTAAAACCAAACTGCAAAAATTGCCAAGAATAACAGATGCCTCCGCAACACACAGGGTTCACATCACACAATCGGAACCTTCAAAGTTTAAGGCAGTTGGGTGTGTACTCCCACAGTTCTATTACAATGTGAAACACTTGCGTAGCCCTCCCAGTTCCTAATGGTTTCTACTTCGTACAGTTTGCAGGCGTCGAAGGTCTGGTCACCTCCATCACCGACTTCTTTCCACGCCTGGTCCTCAAACCTCGACTGCGAATGATTTTTGTGGGATCAATCTGCGTTGCCTGCTATATGATCGGATTACCCATGATTACTAATGTGAGTTTCAGTTTCTTATCTGGTCTGTTAGATTCCATCCGCTTGCAGTGTTTATCTCCGGTTATCCCTGAGCAATTCTGTGACGATACACAGACCACGTGACTCATGAGGTCAGAGATTACGCGGTCTTGTAACCCAAGCAAAACGGAAGATTTTGGGTGTTCGGTTTGGAAAGTATGATATGGGTAACTCGTGTCATTCTTGAAACCATGTCATGTAGGACAGCTCGGTGTTACATACTGACTTTGCAAGCGAGATGTGTCAAGAAACATTTTATCGGTGCAGGTTGGTTAGTTCTCACGCAATTCGACCGAATATCTAATTCCCAAGGCCTGCAGATTCGTTGGCAACTCCCGGTTTGAGAACTGCACATTGCTAGTTGGTTCTTTGCTTTAAAGGTGTCTAAGTTAGCCCAACATCGCGAATATTATAACTGGAGCTACATATCCATCAAGTGTTTGGTTGTGTAACGGGGACTCCCATCGAAAAATGTATCCAGCGCCAGAACTTGCGTCGGTTAGGCCAAGTACGAGGCCAAGAAAAGTGACTTCTCAGGATGGGAACCGCGTGGTACCCATTGCGCCTGGTTAGGGACGTCGACAGACGTGGGGTTCTAGTTGTCAGTTTCTCTCCGGAGTCAATCAATCAATTTATCAGCTATAAACCATATCCCAAAAGCACATTCATTCCAGCTGCTAAAGTTTCGATCACCAGAAAACGGGAACGTGGAACACATGACCAAGCCTTGGAGGCGAAGGCATATCCAATTTGTTCGGAAATAGGGTAGCTATGCATCGACGGTGATAGTTTTGAGGCACGAGCGCCACTGACTGCGCGATACGGCCATTTTTGCCAATGTCGTCACCTACTGGTGATTTGAGTCTCGCGGTCCCCATCCAGGGACGCGGCAGTCGCTCAGCCGACTAAGTTTACTGGTTGGTGTTTTCGTACTTCGTTGCCAGGTCAAACATTGTCCACCTCTCGATCACACAGGGCTGGGAAAAAACTCTGTGGGGCAGACGTTCTTCTGGCATTCGGAGTACATTTCTCAACGAGCGCAACCTATAAAGCGTGAGTAATTCATTTGTCGCGGGAGAGTTCTTTCTTCCTAAGACCATCTGGCAAACCTCAGCATTACTAATCCAATGTTCCCACCAGACCTGAACATTGTTTCGGAGATACCGATGAACAAACACTGACATCATCCGTATGTCCTCTGCGCGAAGGGGCCAAGTCTCTGATCCATAAGGCAGTATGGATCGCAACACCGCGGTGTAAACCCTCCCCTTACCAGACAAGCTTGCGTCACGTCGGCGCCATAAGTGTCGGAGGTTGGTAAAAGCTTTCCTGGCCTTTCCAGTTCGAGAAATAATCTCATCTCCAGCTAGTCAACCGGAACTTATGCTGCTACCCAGGTAAACAAATTTATCTATCACGTTGGTTGGCTCCCCTCAAGCACGAAGTTTGGGTTTGATTTCACCCAGTCTTATAGCAGCACTCTACACTTTGCAGGTGTGAAGCGCATGCCAAACCATGCGGCAGAGTTATTTAGGTTATTTGGAATCGTTCGCACTTGGGAAGGATCTGAACCAAGGACAGCTACATCGTCTGCATACTCAATGTCTGTGAGAGGACATCCCGGGAGCATTTTGACCCCCGAGGTTTCAGAGGCAGGCAGAGAAATTTCAAACAGCATTTTAATAACAAAGTTGAAAAGGAAAGGGGACAGCCTTGTCTTACACCACTGGACGTGGGGAACTCAGGCGAGAGCCTCCCATACACTCGTACGCACCCACAAGAGTTGGCATACAGTGCCCTCATAAGAGAGAGAAAGTTGGAAGGGACCACTTTGATCGCTAGACATTGCCAAAGTTGCTGAAGGTCGACAGAATCAAACGTAGCTTTCAGATTTAGGGGAACGACCAATGTGGGACATCTGGAGGAGTGGCGCTTTAACAGAATTTATCTCCAGGTAAAGATATACGACCAGGGTGAAACCCAGCTTGATTCTCACAAATCTGTCTCTCTTGATAATCCATCAACCTGCGCAAAATAATGCCAGAGAGCACTTTAGATGCGACGGATACCAGGATGATACCACAATGGTCTTCACATGACGAACGGATCGCACCTCGGTGGGATGGTAGTAAGCCAGTATTCCGTCCCTTCCCCTTACACTCTTATTCCTAATTTCACAATAAAGCTTTCGAATAAATCATGGTTTTACAGAAGCGGACCATCATTCTTGAACACTAATGTAATGCTGTCGATGATCACGATAATCCACCAAGAATATCTCCAAGAAAACTCGTGATTACATTTCCAGGAAACACGTGACTAGGAGTGTAGAGTTGAATATATGAATTGCCCAACTTCGTCCTTTGTGGACGTCCAATCAAAAACTCATTGACGAAAAGTTCACGCCGAGAACATTTTTTTTGAAATCTTCCATTATTCTCAATATTTGGAGTTGGCTACCTATCAGACGGAATGAAAAAAACAATGATTAGTGTTGAGATAGGGGTCGGGTCTTACCCTGCCAGTGAAACCATTCCATACTGAAAAGCCAAGAAGCACCGTACAGCAGGTCCATCTTCAGTAGTTTGCGTCTGATGAAAGTGATAGATTTTCGAACCAGTGACCTTTCGGCCCGTGTCTCTACCCTTAACCTTTCGACCACGAGTGGCTGATCAGCTGTGTGAATAGCCCAGGACAGGACAAAGAGCCGCTCATCCTTCGATCACGTGAGGCGCATCAGGTTGCTGATCAGCGGTTCGTGGGTGGAAAGTCGCGGGTTCAAATTGCTCTCAGTTTCCTGATGATCCCTGAAATGAAACAGGTGTACACTGCTTCTCGGCTTTTCAACGTAGAGTGGCTTCGCTGACAGAAATAATTCTCAACTGGAAATTGCGAAATCTCCCCCGCAACCACCATTAGTCAATTTCTTTCAATGTAGAATAGCAGCGAGATGTACAAACTACGCAAGTGCCAAAACACATCAAAGTAAAACGGGTTTTGCAAACTGCTGTCGGTTCGCCCGCTCTTGTCTGTTCACCTATCGGCGAATAGAAGGTACAAGTCGATACTGTATAAGCGTACGATTGAGTCACAGGGTTCTGGGTAAATGCAGTGCCCGATTGCGGTTTTAATGAAGCCAATGGCCTCGTCTTAATCGTTCAGTCATTAAACTTCAGGAGGGCTCAACAAGATTGTGTCTTCCACTTATTGCGACGACTTTAAAGATAGCGAAAAGGTCAGCTTGTTACTCAAAACAGAATAGGTGCCTTGTAATTGAAGGTGAAAAATTTAAGCCGAGTAGACATTCTGTTTTCTGGTTTCGCACAGATGCTAGGTGTGATATATGGTAGTGTTGAAATATTGGTAGCTCGGGTGAGTTTATTGGTTGTTGATCAGGTGGCTGTTGATCTGTTTGCCGAGCTTGTCAATTGGCTTGCAAACGTTTCGTCACCAAACGAGGACAAGTTGGGTGGGTATTTCTTCCTTGCCTGCGTGCGTTTATATAGCATTCGAAGGTTATTTGTTATCTTTTGACGTGATTGGCTACTTGAAGTGTAACGAATTTGGGGAATCCATTGGTCCATTTGTTATCACAAGATCACGGTATACGTTTTCACTTCAGTCAGGGGATTCTGGAACGCTTATCAGATAGTTCGTCCTATGTGTAAAGTCAGTCTATGACGAAATGCACCTTACAGTCGTTGCATTCTCATTGAGAATTGTTTGCAGTGGTCAGCTTCCGAAAGTTCAGGAAGTCTCTGCTCGGCGACCTCTTGGTTCGGAGTTTGAAAAATTAGCCATTCGACCACGGGCCTCTGATCACTAGGAAGACACTGAGATAAAGCTATTCATCCTCCAATCAATGGACTGACATCACGTGATCACACGTGCTGCTCGGTCCCTCGATCAACGAGTTTCGCTCATTGATTGAAGTCTGTTCTTCCTCCGAGCTACGCGTACATTTCTGATAGGCTGAGATCAGGTGCAGAAAAGCCATGAAGCACTCTACAGCTGTTGATTCTTATTGTGAAAGACTGATATCACGTGATCACACGTGCTGCTCGGTTCCTCGATCAACGAGTTTCGCTCATTGGTTGAAGTCTGTTTTTCCTCCGAGCTACGCGTACATTTTTGATAGGCTGAGATCAGATGCAGAAAATCCATGAAACACTCTACAGCTGTTGATTCTTATTGTGAACTGTCATCAGTGCATATCTCAAGTCTAGGTGCAAGCTGATTACACTGGTAATCAGCCGCTCTTAAATGAATGGTTAACCCCGAGCCAGGTCATGAATCCAAGACATCATGGAGTTCTTTTAGATTCACACCCCTGATGATTCTCAACAAAGATGAATCAATTGCACCTTGCTTTTTGGCTTTTCACCATTGACTGGTTTCACTTATGATATAAAGCCCCCGATAAACACTCTTGTATTTCCCTTGTTCTGTTTACCGCCTGTCACGACGATAATGAAGCAGTCATGGGCCATAAGCGCTTGTTTGATACCCCCTTCTGTCCGATTTCAGGGTGGTATGTACGTGTTCCAGTTGTTCAATCATTATGCCGGGAGTCTCATTATCCTGTTGACCGCTTTCTTTGAATGCATCGCTGCGGGTTACGTCTACGGTAAATGAAGTTTTTGCTCTTTGGGGTCCTTGAATTTTTACCACTACCTATCATGCCATTCTGTTTCGAAGCTTCACAATGGTCGTTTGATATGCATGATAAGAGTGGACAAAGAAGCCAACCAGAAATATCGATTGGTGGTTGACTGAACATGAATAAGGATCGCGAAGAAATGTCACGTGACAGCTGCCAGCTCATCAGAGTTGATTCAGTTAGATTATCTCCCTACTTGAGGAACTGTCTAGTGGATAGGGCAAACTGTTTTCTGACGGGAATGTATCTTTTTGGGGCGGGGAGAGAGTCAACCATCACAATATATTTTTGCGGTCTCCCAAGTAAATTCAGTTATAAGTGCGATTTTTCAATGTATTTTTCACAAATTTTTGGGAACAACATTGCAGTTTACTTTCACATGGACTTTTTGGCAGATCACGTGCGTGTTCATTCAATTTTGATATTTTTCTTTGGTATTTGCCAAGTATTACCAACCAAACTCGTGATACTGCGTTCGGGTTTACTGATGAACTTAACTGGATGACCTTCGTTTCCTAACTCGTCCCCACCATGTCCAGCTGGTGGACCATTAACCGCACAATGCTCTTAGCTGTAAGACCTTCACGAGTGGAGTGAAACTTTTTGCTCTAGAATGTTGCACTTTGTCGCGTATGTGCCCAAACTAAAATCGGTCCTAATCTACGTTCATATTTTTGCTGTCACCAAATTTTGTTCTCCACTGAAGCAATCATACATCTGGCGGAAAAGTCTGGTGGAATAATTTCCCAGCATCGTTGAGACCCCGGGATGTCTAAATGGGGCTCGAAAGTTTGGACTGATACTCTGAACTCACTTGCCCGATTGCTTTGGTCTATCAGGGAGACGTCATAGCTTTCGAAAATTCAATTCCATTATGCGAATACTGGGGGCCGTCCAGCTGTACTAAATACCGTGCTTTTTGAAAATTATACTGGCAGGCGGGTCTCAACCAAATTCGTTTCTCCAACGTGTCAGACACACCTAGGTTAAAGGTACGGGCATACCGGACTGTAGGCAGATCTACATCATTCTCAAAAGTGGGGATTCCACAAGCAGAATGGATAAAGTTTGTCGCTGTCCTTGGGTAACTCGGCAACTATCAATCTGATTTTCAGTGGCGCTTCGTATTACGGTTGTTAGACAGGTTGGTTAGACAGGCCTTCCACTCAGGGTCACAATCCTGTTGTTTGAGTAACCGATCGGCAGACCAATGCGTTGGCACGAGAACCCAGAATCAAACATGTTCATCATGATCTGAGAGCTTGGGCTTGAGAGGTCTTGAAAACAAGAGTAGTGCATTGACAGCGGTTGAAGGATACCAAATCCAGAGTCCAATGTGATACGTAGGCCAGACTTGCGTACTATATTCCCTATAAAGGAATGTGTCAGTTTGAATCGGTCTTTTTTGACCTCTTCTTAGAGCATCCCCACTTGGTAGTGGGGCACTCCCCTGAAAATCGAGGTTCACGAGGTCTGCTCCCGGAGAATGTCCTCTTTATTCTAGCTTTTTCTGCAGTATTTATTTTCCTTGCAATTTTGCTATTTTTTCGCGGTATACACGCTGATAATGTGTCGGAATACTGGTAGCTCAGGTGCCTTCGTTGATGAAGGATCAGGTGGCTGTTGGTCTGTTCGCCGAGCCCGGTAACTGACTTGTGCTAATCTGAGGAGGTCTTACTTATAAGTACTCCATGTGCTTTAAAACCTGACCAACTTGGTGACCTGCTCACCTGGCCTGATAAAGCTTTTGTGTCAAAAACAAAACTTTGCCAACCGCCGATCGTCTGCCAGTCCCTTCCGGGACAGATGGAAAATTGTCTTGAATAGTGGCTCTGAGTTGACGACTAACAAGCTGAGTTGAAGCTCAAAGTTTGCAGCAAAAAATGTGCTTGATTTTTGCACTCATTTGATTTTCAAGTAACCAAACGCAAAGCCTTCGTATACCAGCTTTTAGCACCATATTTTCGACTATTCCACGTCTTTCATAAAAGTGATTAAAGACCGTGTCTGTACCGATTTGGTTTCATTGGGTCAAACAGTTCAGTGTGAAACTATCGGTTTACTGGAACACACCGGGGAAGAGCACCGGTGAACTCATTGTAAATCTCCAGACAGAGTGAAGTGCGACGGTATGATAACGAATGGTAGATAATGAACTTACCGCCGCAGATATCTGTGACCAATTAACTTGGTTCTTTGAAATGAAATATCATCTATCATTCTGCTCACAGTTACCAGGCCACTTTCGTTGCACCAGCAAACATGACATCGTCGCTTAATTCCATGCATCTTCGGGTAGTAGGTTCTGAGTGTATCTGGTGAACGGGGTGGGGAAGGGGTTCGAGTCCGTCTGATGTCCTGCGGAATCGGTCCTGCCCTTTTGTTCATTCAGCCATGCCCCTGTAGCTACCCCGGTATTGCTGGCTTACCAGAAGATTTATTACCAAAGCTTACCTACCCAGAGAAGACCCTTTCGTAATTGAACTGTGAAACATTAGGATAAGAACTGACTAGCAACTACGCTGACACTAGAAGGTCAATAAAAACAATTGGAAGAGGTTCCTTGTCTAAAATGACGGATTAAAGCTTCAAAAGGGAATTGTGTGGAATTCAGACTGGATAATGGGGAGAAATCTTTTGTGCGTTGCCTTGCTCAACCGTTGTTCACCTTCGGAACAAACTCAATATGCCCCAACTTGCGCCACTTCCCCAAACATGTTCCGAAGAAATTACTAACCAGTATCTACCAAATGAACCAACACATTGTGTCAGTCATCATTTTCTGTGTGCATTTATTGTTCAAGACAGAGCAACATGACGGAGCGTTGAGTAGTTTGGACTGTCATTTACCATCCACGAGGGTGGTTTCCCCCCAGAGGAATTCCCGTTTCAACCGTCCATTTAGTGCATACATGTTGGAAGAGCGCTGCCACCGTGTATAGACGGGTAAGAGGCCAACAAATTGAAAAGTTTGACAGTGATCGGTCTGTCTAACCACACAGACCAGCTGGCCACGAAACCGCAGTGCTAATTCGGTCATTTTTATCTCATTTCAAGGTGCGAGGAAGCTGGGTCGAAACATGAAATCAATGCATGGGTGGGGATTGGGACACTTACCGGTGGCATTCTGGTGCGTCATCACTCCCTGTTTTACGCTAGTGAGTTACTTTTGTTTGGTACCTACGAAACAGATATACTACTCACATTGTGCAATCGTGAAAACTTTCCTCAGAAGAATGAGTTTCAAAACAGAAGGAAAGCCTTTTCATTCGAGACACACTTCACGAGTTTGCTGAGAACTCTTCGATCGCCCATGACTGATTTTGCTTTCCTTGCAATCTTAGAGTTTTCTTCAGTCTTACATCCTGCTTCGTCATCAAATGCTACGCAACTGTCGAACCAAACTCATCCCTAAATGAACTTGGTGTTCACTTGAGACTCAACTGACTCTCAGGTGAATCAGTGCAAAGCACGAATGAGACTTGAGCTCGGTTAGAATGTAAGTTTGACAAAAAAAGGGAATTTCGCCAGCTAATGAGTTTATGAGTGCACAGGTGGCGGTAGCCATAATACAAATCAGAAGGTGCATGTGCACTAATAGAGGTTTTAGCATGGTTGCGATACGTATAAAAATAAATACAGTGTGAAATGGGAGCGAGTCAAAAAGGGAAATTATCGTATATGAGAGTCCCTTGGTGGAAGTCCGGACGGCGGGAACGTGTTTTTCTCCGCAGTTCGACTGCTACACGTACTCCATGGTTGTCCGTGGACTTGTGGA